TTTTTTTTTTTTTTTTTGATTCTTATAGAATATTTATCTGTTCCTTAACCATTAGGCCAAATCATTGTCTTATTGAAAATTCTGTGATATACTACATTATCATTCATTTTGATCACTTGATTAGTGCGTTAAAGTTGAGGACTTTTGTAGCATTGGTCTGGCAACAATGAATTACTAAGCAGCATTGAAAATTTTCTTGAGAAGAAATGAGAATCGGACATTACCTTGGTATCATCAGTGTTACCATCACCTTTGGCCCCAAAATCCAACACATTGAAGACAGCAGATGGCTGGCCGCCATAACCTTTCTGTGGTGGTGATGCTGGGCTGGGTGGGGTCTTTTCTCTTGGCTTAGGAGCCGGAGGAGGTGGCAGGGCTTTACGAGGAGGAGGATGAGTTTTTGACTTCGACCCTCCTTTCTGGTGGTGATGGCTGCTACCAAACATTTTCCCTTTCTTCTGGGCAAGTGACGGCCAAGTATGCCTGTTTTGCCTCCAATGCCTACCTCTCCTGGCATTGCAGGTCACCATACTCGACGACCAAACAAGGAATGCAACGAACACCATAAATGTAAGCCTTCTAAAACCGAAACCACTCATTTTTATGTATCTGTGTTCTTGGAAGGGACAGAAACAGAGGAGAGGAAAACAAAAGAAATTGCTTGCTTAGCTTGCCAAAGACAAGTGATAGGTGGGTATAAATAGAGAGATGGACCCCAACAGCAATGACACTGTGTAAACATAAGCAAAGATGATACTTTGATAACGCTAACCATTTATGCCTCATTCTCTCTTCTATCTTTTGTCTGCATTAATCATAATTTACTTTTCTCCTTTTGAATTTTGATTGGAACTCATTCAGCTCACCAATATGGTTTAAAGGGACCATTTATGCCACGCGCATATAAATGTCATTGCCCATGCAAACACATAGCTCTCATTTTCTTGTGAAAATCAAGATTATATAACACGAGATAGGTTTTGGATTATAAATAACCATGATTATCAATTAACTACATTCTATTAACTTTCCATGGTCAATCCAAACACTCCTATAGTTATAACTCACGACACTTAGAACTTACGGGAAGTTACACCAAATCTATATGTTGATACCTTTTTTAGAAAAAGACAAGGGAAGACACGAGGGTGGGTCTAGCTATGTGTTGCAAGGGCACTGATTATAACAGCTCTTTATGATCACATTCACATGCAACGTTCACGGGCTAGAGTTTTGTGCTTTTGTCTTCTCAACCCTTAAATTAGGTCTAGAAGGCTGTTTTTTAAAATTTTTAGAATTCTCTTATAAAAGCAAATTGTCCAATTCCCCAAAGAACCCACCAGAGAGAGTTAAAGGTTAACCGGCAATAACTGTCTCCATTCTCCAATTTATCCAACTGATGGTCTCAGCTAACTGGGTTTGTACGTCCTTCCACAGCAGGACCTCAATAATACACCCCAAGAAACCTCCATGAGCAGCCCATGGTTTCTCCATTTTAGTTCTTGAATTTAAAAAAAAGGGGTTTTTTTTTTTTTTTTTTTTTTTT